CTCTCTTAGGGGGTGTTTGTTTCAAATTCCAAAATTTATGGATATGGATTTCAATATAGAATTTGAAATCCATAAATTTTTAGTGGGTTTTGGGATCTCTAAAATGTTGTTTGTTTCACCAAAATTTTAGGATATATAATACCAAAACTTATAATGTTTTGTTTGTTTCAAACTCAAATTATAGCATTACAAATTTTGGAATTTGAAATTCATAGTTGTAGCAAACAATTTTTAGGATTACCAAAATAATAAATGGTGAATATAAGAACTTTGGTGAGCTTACCTCCCACAAAAAACAAATACAAATATATTCAATTGGGGTAAGCATACACATTCAAATTTATACTCAAATTATAGCATTCTCATTCATGAACGCCTCCTGTAAACAATGAAATTCCATTGTAGTCGGCAATATCAATATGTGACCAATCATCATAACTCATATAAATAGCAAGTAAGCAGCCACAAGTAAGCTACCAAAACAAATGTCAAAGATGCAGGAAAAAACATATGCAATAACTCAATTAAAATGAAAGTTATTACTAAAAATGTTACGACTAATAATTACAACTCCATAAAAATGGGCACGCCCAGAATCCAGCAAAGATCCAAACTCGTGAGGTTATTTTCATATAAAATTTGTGCTCTGCGAATATGTTCTGCATCAAATTTAGGCTTCATTTGATCTCAGGATCACCTATAATCTCTCCTCCATTACTATTTCAGGATGCATCTCTGATAATTCTTCTCTTTCTCAATCAAAAAAGAAAACAAAGAAAGGATTCCATTATGTTAAAAATGAATGAAACTGAAACCCAAACTGAAACTGAAATTAAAACCATAGAAAACAAAGCCATCATTAACAAATCAACAAGCAAACCCCAACTGAACCCAAACTAAAACTGAAACTGAAACCATAGAAAACAAACAAGCTCACAAGCTCACAAGCTCACAAGCGACTAAGCTCAACGACAAACTTAAACTGAAACAACCAAGCTCACAAGACATCAAAAACAAGCTTAGTGCTCAAATAACCAAGGCCGCAACAAACCAAGGCATGGCGTAAACCCACAACAAACCAAGGCTGCAACAAACCAAGAAATGACCAAGGCTACAAGCAAACCCACAAGCAAGCAGCTCAAATAAACAAGGTTGCAGCAAACCAACAAATGACCAAGCCTGCAATTAAACCCACAAGCAAACCCACACAGCATGGATTGCCTCATATAACCAAATCCAATCTTTTTCACCCAAAAGCAACCAAAAAATGACCCAAATCCAATCATAAGTATATATAACCAAGGTAGGGGCTCAGATATAGGCTGCAGCAAACCAACAAATGACCAAGCCTGCAATTAAACCCACAAGCAAACCCACAAAGCATGGATAGCCTCATATAACCAAATCCAATCTTTTTCACCCAAAAGCAACCAAAAAATGACCCAAATCCAATGTATAACCAAGGTAGGGGCTCAGATATAGGTAAAAAATAAAAACATGGATTGCCTCATCTAACAATGAAATTACAATGTAGATTGCAATTACATGGATGGATTGCCTCACCTAACATTGTAAATACAATGTAGGTTGCAACCTCATCCTAGATTGCCCTACTATAAACATTATAAAATCATTGTAGATTGCATTCTCATAATAGGACTATCATCATTGCCCAAATTGAAAAGTACATAATAGTCATACCAATACATAACGTGCAATATAGGTTGCTATCAAGTATCATATTCATCCAAAATAATAATTGGTGAATATAAGAATTTTTGGTGAGCTTAACCCTCATAAAAAACAAATACACTTGTATTTACCCTTCAAGCAAGCCCAGAACAAAAGATGAAACTGAAACTAAAACATAAGCTGGCCCAAAGTATGGTCTCATATACATGTGTATATTAGCTCAGTCAAAGTCACCAGCACAACCACATCCAGCAACCACAAGCAAGCATACCAAGGCTCATAGAATAATGACGTAGAAGAATAAAGAGGTAATGTAGCCATACCACCAGCAACAAACCCAGCAACCCAGACCACCAGCAACAAATTCACAGACCTCTAGCAACAAAATCACAAGCAACCAAGTTTAAAGCACAAGCCATCATTAACAAATCAACAAGCAAACCCCAACTGAACCCAAACTGAAACTAAAATTGAAACCATAGAAAACAAACAAGCTCACAAGCGACTAAGCTCAACGACAAACTTAAACTGAAACAACCAAGCTCACAAGACATCAAAAACAAGCTTAAAAACAAGCTCAGTGCTCAAATACCCAAGGCCGCAACAAACCAAGGCATGGCGTAAACCCACAACAAACCAAGGATGCAACAAACCAAGAAATGACTGTCATCAAGCAAACCCACAAGCAAGCAGCTCAAATAAACAAGGCTGCAGCAAACCAAGAAAGGACCAAGCCTGCAATTAAACCCACAAGCAAACCCACAAGGCTGCAGCAAACCAAATCTAATCTTTTTCACCCAAAAGCAACCAAAAAATGACCAAAATCCAATGTATAACCAAGGTAGGGGCTCAGATATAGGTTAAAAATAAAAACATGGATTGCCTCATCTAACAATGAAATTATAATGTAGATTGCAATTACATGGATGGATTGCCTCACCTAACATTATAAATATAATGTAGGTTGCATTCTCGTCCTAGATTGCCCTACCTAAACATTATAAAGTCATTGTAGATTGCATTCTCATAATAGGACTATCATCATTGTCCAAATTGAAAAGTACATAATAGCCATACCAATACATAACGTGCAATGTAGGTTGCTATCAAGTATCATATTCATCCATAATTTGCATCAAGTATCATAATATATGGATACATAAACCTGCAAAAGAACCCAAATTATAATGAGATACCATCATCTTCTTGTGTTTCTTATAAAACACCAAGTATCTTAAGGATAAAAATAAGAGTGACGGTGGGAAAGAACAAAACATTATGCTAATATTACTATATACATGTTCAGCATACATAATTAGTTTCTGGATCCATAAGTGTTCAAATTACATCACAAATTAGTGGAATATGCAATGAGCTTACAAAACAAACTGTGTATTATGTCAAGTTTGCAAAAGTAGTGAAATATGAAGTATTTCAAAAGACAAACCCAAATTATGACCTCCTAGAATCCTTGCTCGTTGATAATCTTCTCTATGAATAGCTTTTGAGAATTTTTTTGTTTTGATGATCAACCTCCTAGATTCGAATTCATGATCATACAAGTAATCAAGCACATTGTCCAATGTGTCCTCGAGAAACTCATTGGAATGTGCCATTAGAGCCTTTGTCATTGTCTCACTCCAATGTATAATGCGTTGATGTTGAATTGAGTATGACATGGACTCTATGAAATCGCGCGTGAGAGACTCATCCTCTTTGGTCTTGCTACTTTTCTTTTTATGATGTGATGTACCACTTGAAGTATGAGCTACCCCACTAGAGTTTTTCATTTTTTGGGTTTGAGAGTTGTTGAAGTCAATATGTGAGGTAAAGGACACATCAACCTCATTATCACTAAGATTGACATGCTCCTCGTCAGCTAAAACATGTTGTTTAGAGCCTAGCTTTTTAATCATATCTTTGGTGAGATCACCCTTTGCTTGGTCATCTCCCGCGATGCAGCACAAGTTATCATAGTGAATGAGAGGAGTGTTCAGATACTCCTTCAACCTAGAGCTATTGCATTTTTGTCCTGTATAATGAAATATTATATAATCAGTATAGTAATATAATAGGATTTTTGGTTTTTTTAATTAGGATAAATATTACTTGTGTCCACCTATCAAAACAATCTGGATCCATGGTGACTATCTTAGTTTCTGGATGGGATAAATATTACTTGTGTCCACCTATCAAAACAATCTGGATCCATGGTGACTATCTTAGTTTCTGGATGATAACTAGCCCCACTCATGTTCATGATAGTGCGCATATCAAAATATTTACCCTTCAAGCACTTGACATGATTCATGACTTGCTCCTTCGTGAATTCAGTCAAGCACTTTTTGTTGACCTCTTCTGTAGCTCTTCGATATGCAAGCACTTTAAAAATTTTGTCAACTTTGAGACCATCCTTCGCCATTTGAGCAAGAAAGGGGATTAACACATCATCATGCTCTGAAGTCTATTTAGCATTAGGCACACCCCTTGTATTCTCTTTTTGATTCAAGACTTTTGGTTGCATTTTTCTCTTAGCATTTGCCTTCTTCTTGCGTTGGCATGGTGAGGTAGCCTCATCTTCTAGATCAATTGAAAGTGGTATCTTTAAAGAATGAGCCTCACCGGAGTAGGTTCCGGGTGAAGTATGAATAATTGGGTGGCCACTGTTAAGCATATTCATAAATGACATAGATTGTTGAGTCATAAATGAGTAGCTTATGTCATAAGGATTGTAAGATGGATAAGGTGGAGGAGGGAATGGTAGTGTAGTGGGTGGGGTAGGGGAAGGAGGGAAAGGTAGTGTAGTGGGTGGTGTAGGACCCAGAAAGTATGGATAAGTGGGTGTTCTAGGTGTTCTAGGTGAAGGAGTATCCTTGCATTTATCACTGTCATCAAAGTCTCCCATGCCTGATTGCTACAAATTAGAACACACAAATAACAAAAGTTAAACCTTATGTTAGTACAATAACAGTTAGAAACAAATGAAAATACAATTCATAAAGAGAGTATACAATAATCTTCCCACATTTCAATTCATAAAAGAGAGTATACATTAATCTTGCCACAAAATTCAAACCTCATAGTCTAAAATAACATAAGTTGGTACATATAACTTAAATTATATCCCAATCTCGGTTGTGTCCCCACCATGATATTTATTACAATAATCATGCCACATTTCAACTGCAATTTGATCCATCTTTAACCTCCACTCATTTCTTGAATCTCTTTCCTCTCTTTTTGTCATAGTTTGACTAAAGTCAACAACACCATCTTCATCCTCATTAGCTATTTCGCCAACATCATCTTCATGTCATAGTTTGACTAAAGTCAACAACACCATCTTCATCCTCATTAGCTATTTCGCCAACATCATCTTCAATGAAATTTTCCTCATGCAACAACTCTTCATCCTCATTAGCTATTTCGCCAACATCATCTTCAATGAAATTTTCCTCATGCAACAACTCATCTCTCGGATCTTCTATGTCGATGTAGTTATGCAGTATAGTACATGCAATAACTATATCAACTTGAGTTGAAAAGGGGTAATGTGGCTTCGCAGATAGGATTTTAAAACGATTTTTCAATACCCCAAAGGTTGATTCAATTTTAGACCTTAGAGATGGGTGTCTTAAATTGAACAACTCTTGTCTATTATTGATTGACCTACCCTTGTGTTCGTTTAAATGATAACGCACTCCTCGATATGGGGAGATAAAGCCAGGCATAGTAGTGTAGCCCGCATCACACAAATAATATTTTCCTACAATTACCAAAAATATATTTAGTAAACTTTTTAATTTAAATTAAATAGACTAAATGTTTGATTTATCACCATTGTAAACTCTCAATCCGCGAGGTTGTGGTCTAGATAGTGCATCTTGCAAAACTCTATAATCATTTGCGGATCCCTCCCATCCAGCTAGAACATACGAAAATAACTTGTTGGGAGTGCATGCAGCTAGAACATTTTGAGTTACACCTTTACGTCCCCTAAAACGTTCAACAAGGTTAGCGGGAAGCATGGCATGGATATGGGTTCCATCAATCATGCCAATGCAATCCTATATGATATATTAAACAATTATTAATAATAAAAAAAGTAAAAATACGTGGTGTGTTATAAGAAGTTTAGTTATCTTGTTGATTACTTTGAAATAAGGATAATATAACGGGTTGGCGGCAATTTCTGACGATAATTCATTTGGTGCTTGCTTCATGTATCGCCCTCTTAAATGACCGCATTAGAAGCCATCCTCACTAGCATTTCTTCATCAATATCGTCCATCTACATGGAAGTTCAATATACATGGTCAACTTGATTTTCACCTAAATTAAAACACTTAAAAAGTAGTTGTAATAAAAAAATATATCTAAAACATGAGCATAAGTAACTTTGATGTCAAGAACAAGTCAATGCATACCTATTCAAATGAAGTGATTTTGTTTCATACTAAATATTTTGCTTGCATTTTTTAGTACAAATTCATTGTCAAAATCTATTGTGTCAATAATGCAAATTTATACCCATACGCATGCCTGAGTTCTATTAATACAAGATGACATCTTTAAATCAACACATGAGTTTCCTTAATATTATATACATCATTTACATGTTTCAAAATCTAGTATCAAAATTTTTTAAGTAATCTATGTAAATTATGAACTCAAAAGTCAAACCAAATACAAAGGCTTATAATCAGTCTAAACCCAACTGAACCCAAATCAATTTCACAAATTGTCGACATATCACTAACAATGAACTGAAAAATTTGTCGGTGAATAAAATCATCCTGTTTAACAGTTTGTAACAATGAAAACTCAGAAAACAGCATCCTCAGAAAACAAAGCATACCATGAAATTCCCAACAGTAAGTAGCCAAATCAAAAGCAACAAACCCAGCAACCCAGACCATCAGCAACAAAATCACAAACCTCCAGCAACAAAATCACAAGCAACCAAGTTTAAAGCACAAGTCATCATTAACAAGTCAACAAGCAAACCCAAACAATTCAAGCAACAAAGTTCAGACCTCCATGGATACAAAATTTGTCGGCATATTCTAAACCCAACTGAACCCGAATTAATTTCACAAAAACCCCCAAATCAAGTATTTCGAAACCCTAATTTTGAAGGAAAAGGGAGGAGATATACTTGCGTTGTCGGAGAGAGGATCAGTTGGAACCCTAGATCAGCAAGTGAGGTAGCCTCAGAAACCCCAAACCAATTTCAGCAAGTGAGGTAGGCTCAGCAAGTGAGAATAGCCAAAACAGCAGCAAGCCAATAAACTGAGGACCAGGTGGAGTCCGGTGAGGATGACGACGAATAGGAGTGTCGTGGAGGCGGAAAAGAGGGAACGAGGCCTAGGGTTTTCGCGCGGAGAATGAAACGGCGGGGGGTGATGGTATCGGTCAGTTTTAGGCCTTCGGGAGTGGGGCTGCTGTGGGATCACGGGAGTTGAGCTGCTGAGGTGGACTGAGTTTTGTCAGACATCCACCGAAATCCCAGCTCAAAGCTAGGATTTACAAAATGCTAAAAGTTGTCAGATATATCCCCTTTTAGAATTTCATATCCCATAAAATTTTTTGAAACAAACACTGTTTTTGGAATCCCATAACTCAAAAAAACCCATTTTCACATCCTAGAATTTGTAATCCCAAAAAAAACTTGAAACAAACACCCCCTTAGTTACTTTCTTCGCACGTGAAATGCACGCGTGAGCTCGGTCTGAGGCTCATTACTCACACCTTCATTCCGTATTGGTCTTGTTGTAATTATATATTTTTAAATTTTTATGTTTTATTTTATGTTTTGGGGTTCTTACATGTAAACCCAAAGTTCTATGCCGTCTCATATGAAAATACAAAGTTTTTCGTACCTTGAAAATCATACGGTGTTGTCAGAAGATGATTTTCGTGAAGTTTAGACTAATTTCTGTTTTTATGCCTTCTTTTCTTTTCTTTTTCCCCCCTTTTCCCCCTCTAAAAAA